GCTAAAGAACAATCAGACTTCCTGTTTTTAAAATTTCACTTAGTCTGGGATCAGGAAAATTTTACAGTTACTTTAATAAATCTTAATTACAGTAATTTTTTAAAATATACTGTAGAAAACAGGTCTGGAGTTTGCTTTTATTGAATGGCAAATATAAATACAATTTTTGGGTTGGATCTATAGTTAGGGCTATAGTTGCTACGCGCGAAATTTTCACAAATATAAAGTTGGGAGAGAAAGCAATCTCCATGAGGCGCAGATTAGTATACGAGTCCAAGAATGAATAATACAGATTCAAGTTGTGAATACATGCAAGTTTAAGGACGAGATGAGAATTCAAGTATCATCGTCAAGTTTATAATAAAACCTATTTAGCAAAATACTCTTTTAAGGCAATACTAATAACTTCGAGGCACTTATAATAAATATTTTTGACTTGTTTACTAACTTTTTATTAATTTATGAAATTTTTCTGTAAATAAATAAAATTGGTTCTCATAACCCGGCCGGGTAACTTTTTTTAAAAAAATAAAATGTTTTTTTTTATACAGTATTAATATTGTATATCAGATAATATCTGATATGTGGTCAAATTTCTTTGAAAGATGTGAACATTCGTCAGTTTTATCAGTATATTGATTTTCATGCCCCTATTGTTTAATAATTTAACACAATAAAATTTTATTATTTTACGGAAAACAAAATTTACATTTGTGCTAGTGAAAATAAATATAATAATTTAAGAACTTTAACGTTTAGCCAGAAATCCTTTCAAATACTCGTATTATGCAAATTATAAATTTAAAAAAAAAATTTAAATCCAACCACACAGATAAGAAACTTAAAATATGAAATACATTTAGTCTATATTAACTGTATAGAGAAGCACGAACCATCAAGTTTACCCTTTTTATCAGAACATTTAAGGTATCGGAATCCTAAACTTTTTGAATCATAACTTACAAATCCTTTTTCGTTGTAGATACAAACAAGTTTTTCTTTACCATCTTTTCCTCTCTTTTTTCCTTCTATTTTATTGTTCTTTTCTTTGTAAAACACATCTTTACTTTTAAAATTCAAATTAGTCCAATTCCAGTGTCGCTTTTTCCATGAAATTGGTTGAAGATAATTATTGTAGTCAGGAATAGTGCTGATATAATAAGAGAGAATTGATGATTAATATGAATATTATATCTTAATAGTAAATTAGAATTTATTATATCAACAGACCTGTAATTTATAGAAAATTTTGCCTTGAAATTTTTGTCAATCTCACACGTCTTACATAATTCGGTGTTATAAGCGAATATAAGCGCTTTAGTTTGTAAGAAATTAATGCCTATCGCAATATTTGCCATTTCAAATTTATCAGAGGATTCAACATCTTGGACACATGTTATTAAAGGAAAATAATTGTCCAAATTTTCAATTGGAATTAGATAACCCAAATGACCAGTTGAAATTAAGTAATTGTTAATAGATTCAATACGACTATGATTAAATTCGGGCTCCACATAATTAAATGAATCTGGATAACCAATAATTATCCATCTGACACGTAATTCGATTTCTCTTTTGTTTCCTTCAATACAATGAATTAATAGGGTATGTTCATTTGTTTTCGTATTACGGACCACACGAACAGAATAGACATCTTTCCTTTTCTTACTTATAATAGAGACAAAAATTTGACGATCCTTTTTCTTTTTTAAACATTCATTTATTTTCTTGGAAAGATTATGTGAATGATAAGGTCCAATATTGCTTCTTTCAATATGTATAATACCTTTTTCCAGAATTCTTTTTCCTATAATTTTCTTAATAATTTGATTACGTTGCTCTTCATTCAATAAATTAAAGATTGGTTCAGCAACATAATCAATAACTGCCCAATTTTTCCAATCCGATAAAGAATCTATCCAAGCCCTCTGGTCGTCATCATTATATATATTTCTATTCCCACCTTTTGCGTAAAATTTCTCCTTTTCAGTTTTTTGTTGATTGATTTCTTCAAGTTCATTTAATTTTTGAACCGAACACTCAATACCATTTCCATCGACGTTAATTTCACCACCAAAATCTACTTGTCTAGACCTTGACTCATTATTCATCAAACTATTATTTATATTGGTTCTCGTTAACTTTCCACCAAAGAAAAGCTTTTTTTTGTAAAATTGACCAAATGTCTTATAAATATTATCAAGGTCGTCTTTTACTATTTTTTCCAAACTCTCTAAGTTACTATGGTCATTTTCGGAATCCTCCTTTAATTTTTTTATAAAGTCTCTAATTTCTTTTTTATAACGCTCATTTAAATTTGACACGTTCTCAAGATCTTGAAGATATTCGTTATTATTTCCTTTCTTATCATTTATTTTGTTCCTTAATTTCTCAATTTCATTATCGAATATTAAAATTTCATTTACTTTTTCCAATAAGTTATCTGTTAACTTTGGGTTATCTATTTCTAATTCTGCTTCTATATAAAAGACGGTATGGTACTGATGTAAAGTACTAATAAGTTCATTAATTTCATTCTTGCTTTTATATGAGACTCCGACTTTGCTTTGAATATTTAAGCCTGATACCTCAGCATTCCCTTTAAATAAAAACTGTTTGCCGTCTGTTATATCAAGGTATTTTTCATTTTCTTTATTATATGCACGATATTCTTTACACCTTACGACACATTTACACTTTTGGTTTTTGCCTTTGTATTTACATTTAAACTCAATAGCATCCTCTAAGGAAGGTTTAAAGTTTTTTCTTAAACCGTGCTTCAATTCAAATTCTTGTATAAGCAGGTTGCAGTCAGGATCCATCGGATCTTTAATTATTAGAGTATCATCAGCCTTGAAGTTTAGTAAGGTAAAGCTACTTTCATTATCGCGTGGAATTAGCCCACCATCATAAAAAAATTGCATAAACTCATTAATATAAATATCATTATATTTTTTTAATTCATTTCGAACATCTCTGAATGAATATATTTTCGGCAATTGAACTTTAATCGGTTCATCGTTAATTTTAATATTAATGAATGTGAATTCATTATTTGTTTTAATATATAGAATATCACCATCCTCAAAATCTTTTAAATTTAATGTATCTTCTTTATCTCGTGTAATTGGTTGACCATCTTTTCCAATAAATTCCATACGATTGGTAATATTTAAATCATGCCTTTCTCGAATTTGGATGAATAAATCATCTTTTTTGACTAGAAATTTATTTGCTAACGTTGTATTATCAACTTGAATTCCAATATATATAGATCCCGCATCCTCAAAAAATTTGGAATCAGTATACATCGTAAAAATTGATATCAAATATAGTTGACGTTTAAAAAAGTTAAAAGTTTAAATATAACGATAACGATAAAGTTTTATCTAAGGTTTTGGTCAATACTCGTTAAAATCTTGTATATAATAATTTTAAGCAATTTGTGTAATCATCTCTTTTAATATTAATTTTAAGGTTTAATCATATTCGTAAAAATCTTGTATACAACAATTTTAAGCAATATTGTGTAATCAACTAAGTTAATTTTACGTAATATATAATAAACAATCACCATCTAAAAAAAATTCTCTGTCCAATAAAATTTCAAGATCTGGTGTAATGCAAAAGGAACGTAAAAAGTCAAAGCAATCCAAGAAATCACTCACAACTCAATCTTACTTATGAAACTGCTTTCTGCGCACTAAAAAAAAAGTTTTTTTCCTGCGATTTTTGGTAATAACAATTCCATCTTAACCTAATCTAATGGCAAGCTTAACCCTAATCAAATGACGAACATATCCCTAGTATACCTAATATACCTAATCTAGTTAATCTAACAGTGAAAAAATTTTTATCGAAATTTTTTAAGTTGGTGACACAGATTCATATACCAATCATAACGCTAATAATAATGTCGAGTATCGTATGACGACTAACGTTTTCGCATTTAGTATAACAAAGCGGATTGAATTTAGACGTTAAATCCCACTCCTGAAAAATTTTCAGAATTCGCATTATAAAGAATAACTTCAACAAGATGGAAAATTTTGTTAAAAGTCTAAAATTAAACCATAAACTTCGTTATCAAAATTTAGATTTTGTACATACAGAACAGAACTTTGTAAGAGATGAACCGTTATTGGAAAGTTTTACTGAAATACAAGTTTGCCAATCGGATCCAGAAGGAGAGAATACATGGAATTTTGTATCATTAAATTCCGACAAGAATGAAAATAATAATCCAGAAATAATAAAAATTCTTATCCCAATTTTTAAAGTACAATGTGCAAAACCTCAAGATGAACTACTTGAAACCACTAAAGAATTATTTATTTCGATGGTAGTGTGGATCGGCGGATACTTAATTATTGAAAAGTATCCTAAAGATCTTTTAGAACTAAGTAAATTGCAAATGTGCATAAATTGGGCCATAAGTAATGTCAGGAAGAAGCAAGATATTTCGTTTGAAGATTTTAATATTACTCTTAATATTAAAAATTCAAAAGATGATGTTATTAATAACATGAAAGAATTGGTAAGTATCATTTTGATTATTTCGATTGAAATTTATAAATTTACTGTAAATTCTCGAATTCCATGGACATTATTTTGAAATAAAATGTCGATTTTCCTAATTGTGAAGAAATTTTCACGATTGACATAGTAAAAAATTCTGTAGTGATAATCGTGAATCTTATTCACGGTATGACATACGGGTTTCTTTTATTATCTTTACGATTGACTAACATAATAAAAATCGTCTACACATGACAACTGCAAAGATTCTTCATGGTTGTCACGTGCAGGTATTTATTAAGAAAGTTTATCACTGCATTCAAATAAATGAATCTCGTGAATCCTACAAATCCTGCATATTATAATTGTCTTCACAATAATAATATGCAGAACTCGTGGGATCATTTGTCGTACTCGTACTAATTCGGAAACAGCGATAAAAGAGTTGCATGTAATATAAAGTGTGCTGTTTTCCAGACGCGTACACATGTATGTACGTACGTACGTACGTACGTACGCGTGCTATTTCAAAACTGGATATAATACAGTCAATCCTTTCTAAACCGAGTTTAGATAACCAAATATCGATAACGTCTAAATAGAAGTTTAAAATTTTAAAATTTACTATGAAGTTTCGGTTTAGAACTAAGTACACTTTTAAACTGAACTTTTCACTTCTTAATAAGCACCATGAGCTCGGTATAGAGAGGGTTGACTGTATTTTACTACGCTTTTCAAATTACTGTGTCCATCAAATGATCGCCATCACACGGAAATCCGAAAATTTTGGCAAATTTTGGCATTTTCTCATAAATAAATCTAATTAAAATGTCAGAAACAAAAAATTCTCAAGATTCCCAATTATATTTCGATTCTCCCGCATCACTTCTAGTACTACACTAGATCTGGTAGTTATTGTGACAAAGTAATATCAAAATTTCCAGAGATTTTTTTTTCTTTTTTTTATTAGTGAGAATTTTGATATCATTTCGACAAGCCAGCTATCAGCTCTAATGTACTAGAGGCTGCACTGTAGAATCTAAATATAATGGGGAATCTTTGGAAATTTGATTTCTAGACATGTTAATTAGATTTATTTATGAAAAGGTGCCAAATTTTGCCAAAATTTTCAGATTTCCGTGTGATGGACACAGTAATTTGAAAAGCGCAGTAATGATTTTCGAAATAGCACCCATACGCATTATTTCGAGAATTTATGGTATATCATAAAGTGACCTTTCGACATATATTAATTTTATATTATAATAAATTATTTAGTCTGATTATATCGAACAACTATATAACTTTAAATATATTTCCGTAATCGCATACGAGAAAGTCATTTCCCTCTCTGGTCATGATAAAGATCATAAGATCTTGATACCAAAAATTTCCAAACATAAAATAATCGGTATGGATAAATGGTTGCAAGGCAATATACTTTTGAATATCCCACGTTGGATTAAAAATTATAAATTGAATCATGGACTAGTAATATCTTACAACGGAGTAACTATCAGTGAAAAACCCGCGATAGGAATTTCAATATCATCAATTAAAAAGGTTCAAAAAACCAAAAAGGAATATTTTGGTGAGGTCGAATCATCATCAAGTACCGATATTCAATATCGTTATAGAATCGTTAATGAACAACTTGAATTTACTTTATCTAATAAATTTGAATTAACTGCAAAGTTTGAAGAAGCCGTTGAAGATGCATTAAATTCTGAATCGGCATATGATGAATTGACTAAAATTTTTTCAAAGTACGGTCATGTAATTTGTCAAAAATTCACCATAGGAAAAATAATAAATATTTTATCGAATAAAGATGGTTTAACAAATGAAGACAATTCAAAGGAACCAATTGAAAGAAGTACTCATGTTAACGTCTCAGATGCTTGGTCTAAATATGTTTTCGAACATCCTGATTTATGGTGCGTAGTGGATCGATACGGAATGATTCCTATTACAAAGTTTCTTAAAAAAGAAATGCAGCAAAAAATTAAATCAATAGAGGAAGAAAATAGACGAATAATAGATTGTTCTATTACTATTTTTAAACCTAAAAAAGAACGAAATATAATGCTAAATTTGAAATTTGCCGAAACTGAATGTGACATGGCTCAGTATGTCGCCGAGACAGTCATTAAGAATAAACCTGACAATGGAGTACGAATTAATGGAAGAAGAAGAAGTATTTTTGAAAGGTTTTTAAATATCACACATCCAAATAAGGAATATTATTTGGAAAATAATGCTTTTGAATGTATAATTAAAGATGAGCAAAGTGAACATAATCGCTCTGAAATTAATATAATTAATAGATGGGAAATGTTCAAAAATTCTGAAAATAATAATGACTTTGCTGGAATGAATAATCTTGGATATTTTTATGAACATGGAATTGGAATAGAAAAAGATGAAAATGAAGCATTTAGATTATATGGAATATCTGCCCATGGTGGAGATAGCGCTGGAATGAATAATCGTGGGCATTGTTATGAAAATGGAATTGGAACAGATATAAATGAAAAGAAAGCATTGTGGTGGTACAAAAAATCTGTTCGTGCTAAAAATAGTGATGGAATGAATAATCTTGGACATTGTTATGAAAATGGAATTGGGATAGATATAGATGAAAAGAAAGCATTTTATTGGTACAAAAAATCTGCTCGTGCTGGAAATAGTGATGGAATGAATAATCTTGGGCGTTGTTACGAAAATGGAATTGAGACAGTGAAAAATGAAAAGAGAGCATTCCGTTATTACAAAAAATCTGCTAATGCTAGAAATCATGTAGGTCAAAACAATGTTGGATATTGTTATTATAACGGCATTGGAGTTGAAATCAATAAGAATGAAGCTTTTAAATGGTATTTGAAATCTTTTACCACATATGAACAGATAAATATACATGCTGGTTAGTATTTTATTTCTTAATTGGCTTTAGTTGCTGAATAATATGTTCTAAATTAATTGTTAAATTTCTATTAGATAAACTCATTAACAACAAATCAAGTAATAAGTAGTTGGCAACGTGAAAATTGGTTTTTTAACAAGATATATAATTTTTTTTAGAAAGTATGTAATTTTGTAAAACTATTCAGAAATATAAAGGCATGTGCTTTCTTTGAGAAATTTTGAATATTCGTTGAACAGCAATGAGTCTGAGTGTCTTTGGTGTTTGTACAATATAAAATATCAAGTAACTATATATGTATATTAAAGTAGTTAAAATGTGTATAAATAAATTGTTTATTAGTAAATTAGCTGAATCGGTAATGGCTCTAAAATTTACAAAAACCACATACTGAAATTCATTATGAATAACTTTTGAAGTTAATATTATTTAAATTTTAATTGGATCGAATAAAATCGGATGTAATATAGAAGAAAAGTTCGTTATAAAGCTGACTGCAAATAGTATAAATAACTGCACAAGAAATTGTTTCCGGAATTGTTATAGTATAATTAACATCGATATAATTACACTTTTATTGGCTTTCAAAATAGTTAATCAGCATTGACCGAACAGCTGCACATTTTAGGTTCAAGCTCGATTCATGTGTGTTCCTCATATTGTAATGTTCCATAATCAATCAAAGAAAAACGACGCGACTTTTTTACTTCATTGATAAGATTGTCTGACTTTTGTGAAATAATATTAGTACCAACGAATATATCGTCATTTACTTTTACAAAGCATGGCAACAATCATGGCTACAGGTGTTTGCCAATGATATAAAATTTTATTTAGACAAAACAATCAATAACAATACTAATGTATTTTCAAAACTGGCGTGGGATTCCGAAGAATTCTCCAAATACAAATTAAAATACTGTATCTGGTATCTGGTATCTCTTAAACCGTTTGAAATTCGGGGCAGATCTGCCCTAAAATTTTCCGATAATCACGTGTATTAAAAATACACAAAATGATACAATACTGTACAATACGTCATAAATGAGTATAAAAATGTTATTTAATTTATAAGGTAATACAGGTGCTACGTGAGTTGCCAATCAAAATTCAACGTTTCAGGGCAGATTTGCAGGAGAAACGGTTTAATGGTAAATATTATTTAAATGTTAATATATCATGACATAGTGACCAGAATTTAATGATTTTGATACCATTCGATTCGTCTCGACGAGACGGTTCGAATGATATCAAAATAATTAAATTCAGTTCGTTAAATAATGAGATATTTGCGAAAAACTATCTGAGGCGCAGTTTTTATAGAGCTGCGTTGCAAATTGTCTTTTGCAAATATCTCTTGATTTGGTGATCAGAATTTAATGATTTTATTACCATTCAAATCGTCTTATCGAGACGAATTGAATGGTACCAAATCATTGATTTTTGATCACTAGATCATGATATATTGGTAAAAACAAATTTTTAAAAAAATTTCAGGGCAGATTTGCAGGAGAAACGGTTTAAGAGATAATATTACTATGTCACCAATGGTATAAATACAGAACACTATTTGATACTTGTCCAAAGCTTAAACTTAAAAATTGAATTTTATTAAACATTGTATACGATTCTGTGACAGATAATCTTTTTCATAATCATTGATTCTTCAACGAATTCGAGCAATAATAAAATAGATTAAACCCAAAAATTAAATACAGAGAAACCTTCTTAAGTGCATCTCTCTTGGGATCATAATAAATGTTCACTTAGAGAGGATATTTATAGAAGGCAAAAAAATAGCGTTATTATAAATTTTATATGGAGAATGCATTTATGGATAGGGTGGTTTCTATGTACCGGTAATTAGGGATTCTGATGCATATTCAAGAAATGAATAATTCAAATAATCTTGATATTAAATATAGAAAAGAATTGAAGCTTGCTCATTTTTTGATGCATAATAATGTTACTTCAATGATTATCGTCAATTTTTAGATGAGGCCAAACACGTAGAAAACTATTTGGAACCTGTCTTACTTGAAATCATTCTTGACGATAAGCTTAATTCAACCTTTCTCGCCTTTCTCTCAATGTCCGTGAGGCCGTGATACAAAATGCGACAACAACTCGCCCGTAATTTTCTCGACGGAAGCTAGGGATGGCAACTGTCGCCTATTTTCGGCTAGCCGTTTTATAGCCGTTAACTGCAGAGATGTATCTCGTGATCCAGTGATTCATCTCAATGAGACAAATCAAATGGCACTAAAATCATCCGATTCGGATCACTGGATCACGAGATAAGCTAACGGCTATAAAACGGCTAACCGAAAATAGCCGACCGTTGAAATATCCCTAACGGAAGCCTTCAAATAGACATTATATTTATTTTTAGACCTATCATAATATTGTGAGTACAGTTATGAATGTTTTAACCGTTAATTACCACAATGATGTTTTGTGTATGTAATTTTATACAAAATAATTTATTAAATAACTTTATTGTATTCTTAATCAATAGATTCAATGCGAATATTATTATCTGAAATAAATTCATTTACATTATTTATTTCAACAGATTCATTCTGTTTCTGATCGATAAAGCTAATAAATTTGCTACTATGAATTGTATTACCATCAATATTATAACTAATGTTTTTTATTTCCGTTTCTTCATCATATTTTAAAAATTCAGATAAAAATTCAGGACTATTTCTCCAATTTGTTATAGTTTCATAAATTTCTAAAGCTGTTGGACGTTTTTTTTGATCATTATCCCAACACTTTTTTAAGAGATCTACATAAAATTGAGTTGTACCTTTAGGAATAGTTGGCCTTAGTCCATTACAAATTTCTATTGCCAAACTTAAATTATTGCGTTGATTATTTTCATGATCAGGAAATACAACATTTCCTGAAAATATTTCCCACATAATCATTCCAAATGAATAAATATCTGAAGCTTTACTGAATGGTTTCCACGTAAAACTTCAGGAGCAACATACGGTAATGCTCCATAAATTCCTCCAGATCCCGTATCTAATGATTTATTTACTGATCTTGCAAAGCCCAAATCTCCAATATAAGCATTATATAAATCATTTTGTAATATATTACCGCTATGTAGATCGCAATGAATAATATTATATGAGTGAATTAATTGAAGATCAAACGCGATATATGATAATAATTCTAATTTTTTTTCCCATTTCATTTGTGAAATAGTATGAAGATTCTGACGTAAAGATCCCATTCGAGCGTATTGAATAATTAAGATGTAATCACCAGTAACTTCATCTTTTGACACTCCATGACATTGCAAAAATGTTGAATTTTTACTTCCAATATCAAAATATGCATTTACCTTTAATTTTATAAGTATTAATAAATGAACAAATCTAATAAACATTTATAGCAATAAAGATTACCTCTTTCATAAGCTCTTTACAGTTAGTTTTTGATCCATGAAATAATTTAAGCGCAACATATTCTTGGATAATA